TAAAGCAAATTAAGAAAAAAAAAAGTGAAATAAAAAGTTGAATTCGTTTTGTGCAGCCCTTCCACTGTTCTGGTAAGAACAAAAGACATATGTATATATGAGCCATTTAATTTTGGTGATTCCACATACAAATTTAAAGCCAGCACTGTACAACACAAAGATGAATGGTAAAATTAATGCGAATCAGTTAAAATTTTAATTTTTACTTAGAACATTAAATCTTACTTTATTTGTAATGGTGAAATTTTGGGAACTTAAATATCTACTTATAGAGAAATGGGAAAAAAAATGATGAGGCATTTATGGAATGAAATATTGTATACATAATATAAAGTTTTCAAAAAATATTTAATAACCTGTGAAGATTATTAAGATGAAACTGAAGTCACAAATTAAGATATGATGCCAACTTTATTAGTAACGACTACCATTTACTGTTCTCTGTGCAAAGTCTTATGCTAATCACTTGGTAACATGATCTCCTTACAACAATTCTGATGTTATTCACAATCACCTCCAACCCCACTGACAAATGAGGAAACTGAATCTTAAAGACATGACATCGAGATCTTTCAGCAGTTGGTAATATTGGTTGAACTGGGGACCAGAACTCAGAACAGGCTGATGGGTGATAGGACAATGGTTTTAATTCTCTTTATGCTGTTTCTGTGGTTTTGAAATGTTCTGTAGAAGTATATTTTGTCTTTATAATTGTCATGGTTTGAATTATGTCCCCCCAAAAATGTGTATATCAGTTTGGCTGGGCCATGATTCCTGGTACTGTGTGATTTTCCTGTATGTTGTAAATCCTGCCTCTATGATGTTGAGGGAGGATGGGTGGCAGTTGTGTTAGTAAGGCAGTACTGGATCTACAAGACTGGATTGTGTCCTGAGGCAATCTCTTGAGATATAAAAGACAGAAGTGAGCTGTGAGACAGGGGGACCTCATACCATCAAGAAAGCAGTATCGAGAGCAGAGCGCGTCCTTTGGACCAGGGTCCCTGCGCTGAGAAGCTCCTAGTCTGGGGGAACACTGATGAGAAGGCCGAGAGAGAGAGAAAGACTTCCCCTGGAACTGACATCTTGAATTTGGACTTTTAGCCTACTTTGACTATGAGGAAATAAACTTCTCTTCATTAAAACCATCCACTTGTGGTGTTTCTGTTGTAGCAGCACTAAATGACTAAGACAATGATTAGAACAAAATACTTATAATTACAAATCAGTAAAAATCTGAACATGACTGAATGTGTTTGCTTTGCAGGTAAACTATGGAAAATACTACCGTTAGCGAGTGGGGAAAAAATTAAGTCTGGATTTGTCTGGGTAAAAACAGAGTATTTTTCTTAATGAACATGTATTAACTAAGAAGGGGGGAAACATCTTACATATTATTTTCTACTACATACAAACCCGTTGCCTTCGAGTTGATTCCGACTTACAGCGACCCTATACAAATTAAAACAAAAACAACAAAAAAACTGGAGAAAAAGCCATGATAGCAGTCAGTGTCTTTGGAAGGTGGATTTGCTATTTTTTATTCAGCTTTTAGCTTACTGTCTTCGTTGTATTTAAAAAATATTTGACAAATGACTGTAAATATGTATATGCATAATATACCCAGTATTAACAGAAATCATCCTTGGCATGTGGAATCACTGATAAATTATTTTGTTTACTTTGGTTTTCCTATACTCCCTGCAATAGAAAGAAAGTATTTTCGTAATCAGAAAAGCTAACAGATGTTAATTTTTCAATGCATAGAAGAAAAACTAAAACAAGAAATGTTAACAGAATATCTTATTGCTTGTAGTTTTTAACCCCTCTGAAGTATTTTACCACAGTCTAAATTTTCTTTAAAAAATTACCAGCTTATGGGTGGAGGGCTGTGGGGACCATGGTCTCGGGGAACATCTAGCTCAATTGGCTTAACACAGTTTATAAAGACAATGTTCTACACTCTACCTTGGTGAGTACCGTCTGGGGTCTTGGAAGGCTGTGAGCAGCCACCTAGGATACTCCACTGGTCTCATCCGTTCGGGAGCAAGGGAGAATGAAGAGAACAGGATACAAGGAAAAGATTAGTGCAAAGGACTAATGGACCACAGCTACCAAGGCCTCCACCAGACTGAGACCAGTACAGCTACATGGTGCCCAGCTACCACCACTGACTGCTCTGACCAGGATCACAACAGAGGGCTCTGGACAGAGCTGGTGAAGGATGTAGAAACAAAACTCTAACTCACAAAAAAAGGACCAGATTTACTGGCCTAAAAGAGGCTGGAGAAACCTCGAGAGTATGGCCCCAAGACACCCTTTTAGCTCAGTGGTGGAGTCATTTCCGAGGTTCACCGTTCAGCCGGGAAATGGACAGCCCCATAAAACCAAATGGGACTAATGAGACACAGCAGTCCAGGGACAAGGGCCAGAAGGCAGAAGGGGACAGGAAATCTGGTGATAGGGAACCCAAGGTTGAGTAAGGGTAGTGTTGTGTTGTGTGGTTGTTAACCATTGTCATAGGGCAACATGTGTACTAACTGTTAAATGAGAAACTACTTTGTTCTGTAAGCCTTCATCTAAAGTGAGAATAGCAGCATAACTGGAAGAGCGTAGTCGATGTCACTGAACTGTGCATGTATAAATTTTTGAAATGGTGTATCTTTGGCTACGTATATTTTCACCAAAAAAAAAAAAAAAGGTCGGGAAGGGAGAGGGTTGACATGTTGTGGGGTCGTTAACCAACGTCATAAAACAATATGTGTACTACTGTTTCATGAGAACTATTTGTTCTGTAAGCCTTCACCTTAAGTACAATAAAAAAAAAAAAATTACCAGCTTATGAAAATAAATTTCCAGCCAATCATTTCAAAGACACCTGTAAGGAAGGAATTCCAGGGTTTAATTAGTGGTATCAGCATAACATCAATCAGCTATTTGTTTGATTGCCAAGAGAGCTGTCAACTGTAGAAAATCAGAAAGTAAAAGGATGGGATGTGGTGTGTAAGGCTGGAGGCGAGGTATACAGGTGGCACAGTTAGCTGGTGAAGCAATACTCAGTTACAAAGTAGTATTGTCGAACGTAACAGAAAGTAGAAACCTTTTTCAACTAGGGAAAGAGAAAAGCTGTTTGTACAGAATAGAAAACAAGCAGGCAAATACCACCTTGGCATGTCAGAATTAGCAGTCAAAGAATATATCAGTACTATGTAAAGAATAAAGGAAACGTGCCATGGCAAACTTACTCTGAAGAGGTCAAAATGCAAAAAGATGGACAAATTTGATCTCACAAAAAGTAACTGAATAGCCCGGCTCTTGTAAAATTTTAGCAGACTAAGGGGAAAAAAAGTCAATGCAAGCAAATGCCAGTTAACTTTTATTTACTATATAAAGCGATCCTATAACTTGATATGAAACACAAAGCAATTCCAGTAAGTATCACATGAGCAAAGGACATGACTATTAGATCAAAGAGGAAACACAACCACTCAAGATACACATTCAACTTCATTAACAGTCAAGGGAATGACTGGAATGCATTTCTTCAATACACAGTTAAGAGCAATTTCTACTTCTCTATTTTCTAAATGAACTCAAATGTGCTATTTTTAGTAATAAAAAACTGAGTCATTTAAAAAAAGACAGTATGAAAATTTCTGCCAATGCAGAAATCATAAAAAGCATTAAAATGAATCAACAGTTGTATGGGCAGTGAAGTTCAGATCGCTGGAAGCCAATTCCTTTTCCCTTGGTTCCTGAGTTTTATTATGGGATGGTCAATAAAGAGAAGGGTGTTCCTGATTTACATTCTGACAATCTCCCATATACATGGATACACATGCACATATGTATATATAAACCAAGTCCGTTGCCATTAAATCAATTCTGACTCATAGTGACCCTACAGGACAGAGTAGAACTGCCCCACAGGGTTTTCAGAGAGCAACTGGTGGATTCAAACTGCGGACCTTTTGGTTAGCAGCCGAGCTCTTACCTACTGTGTCACTAGAGCTCCATACATACATACATACATACACACACACACACACACACACACACACACACACAGGTATATAATATGTAACTATATAGTGTGATATGTATATCTCACATTATATACCATTCCAGTATTCTAGAGAAGTGGTTCTATCATGATCACTCACAACAGAGGACTCCTATTATTCCATCTGTTGATAACATCCCATTAAGATCTCCCCATGTGGTTCTCAACCAGTAGAGAAGCCCCTTGGTATTGAAGAGGCTAAAGATCTGCTTTAGTACTGCTTGCAAGACAGCAGTATCCTAGGCTTTCTGTGGCTGGCTTCTTATGGAATCTGAAATTGGTCCTGTCCTTTAGACACGGCTGAAAGGTCAGTGTTCTGATTTGTTGCAGAAGAGTTTATCTCCTGCTAGCTCAGATAGTCTTGAGGCAGATCACACACAGCTCTCAAGACGCGCATGGGCTGGAGCAGCACCAGGGCAATCACAAAGTAATTATATTATTTAGGCTTGCTAAACTGGGAGAATAAGCCTAAAATTCTTTAACTTTGTTCCGTGTGCTTCTTTGCCTTTTTCGTAAGTTTTACTGAACAAAAAGGTGGAAAATAGTGAAACCTAAATTTAGTGAGCAAAAACAATTCTTTGAAAATTGACCTTTGCTAAACAATCTGAATAAAAGGGACTCTACATAAAACAATAAACAAGTTACTTAAACAGCAGAGAAGTAATGTAAATTTCATGTGATGTAACAATTTAGTCAAATGACAAATTTGGTTGTCAATTCAATGTGTTACAGCCATTATCTATTTAAATTCAGTATGACTATATAGACATTTACTCACTGGTACTGAATTCCCATCTGAATAGAAATAGCTGATCTGCGGGGAAAATTTTCTAATGTAAAAATTTCACATATAGTTGGAAGTGCAAATGAATTTTAAAATTATTATGTGTGTGTTTCCTCTCTCTCTAGAGAGAGATATCAAACTCTTAGGGCTTTATTGTTTTTTCAAGTTAGTATTTTGAATTTATTATGTCTCATGTCTTCAAGAAATGTCACATAGTCTGAATTCACACAATCTGGTGAGCTGACAGATATGTTAAAAGCTCTATGAAAAGACGGAGGTAGCTAACAATACTTGGCAACTTTTTGTTGTTTTAAGTCGCAATAGGCTGCCTCCCTTTGATGTTTCTCAAAGATGAAAACTTTCAACTTTGAAGCATAATGAACATAATTATATTTACTACAATCACCTCCAATATGACTTACAAAACATCACAAAAAGACATCTAATTTAAACATTTTCTACGCATTTTTTTTCATTTGTTAAAACAGCTGGCTATGTGGAATACATTTTCAGAATGCATTTGTTAGCCAATTGATAAACATACTAAGCCAAAAAACACAAATGACATCAATTACCTCTTATCTACTAACTGTACCAATCATTGTAAAGAGATACAACTGAAGAAAAAGTATGAGATCATCCGTATGCACTGCAAAGGTATTGTACCTTAGTCCTAGGAATGATCTGAAGGTGCTGAAAGAGGAGATTCTCTAGAAGGTGACCCAGGGTTTTCTTCAGGTGGAAAAACTGTGAGGGTACAAGCTCGAATGCCACCAAGTGACTCTGGGAGGTCAAAAACTTTGTGCCACTCATCCTTTTCTGGGTCATATTTCTGGACAATTTCTACCATACAACGATTATTCCAAGAATACCCACCGACAACATAGATTTTATTTTCAAAGACGGCAACTCCAACATCACTCTGACCTCGTAACATAGCAGCAATTGGTGTCCACTGGTCAAGGGTCGGTGAATAGTATTCACAGCTTAGAACATCATCATAATCACTTGTTCCCCTGAAGTGATTGCCACCAATGACATAGAGTTTGTCTCCAACTGTACACATGCAATGCAGACCTCTGACTGTAGTCATTGGAGCTTTCTGTGTCCATTTGTCTGTATCTGGGTCAAAGCACATGAGCTCATTTTGGAAAGTGTCATGGGTAATTCCTCCTGAAATATACATTAAGCCTCCATACACTGTTCCAGCATGGCCATAGTGGGGTTCACTCATTTTTGCAACATAGCTCCACTCATTCATTCTTGGGTTGTAACACTCTACTGTGGCCAGTTCACCAGCTGCACTTCGCCCCCCAACCGCATACAAATGTCCTTTGAGGGCACTCAAGTGGAAGAATGTGCGCTTTTCATTTAATGATGCAACTTGCTTCCATTTATTATACCGAGGATCAAATCTAAAAACTGTATCAACGGCGGTTTTTCCTTTCGTATCATAGTTACTTTGACCACCAACTACATAAAGAAAGTTTCCAATAACAGCAATGCCATGCTGGTAACGAGGAGCGTCCATGGGGGCTAAAGATTTCCACTCCTGTGCCCGTTCATCATACATTCTTAATTCTTTACTGACAACCAACTGCTGCCTCAAAACCCCTCCTAACGTAACCAAGTGAGTCGAGTCAGATCGAATGGCAGTTCTGTCTGACTGCATCACTGGCTGCATATATGGCATCATCTGGTAATTGCTAGCTTCCAAAAGCAAATTCACACAGGTATTGTCCGTTCTCATGAAATCTACAGTTTGCACGTAATTGATGAGGTCCTGCGGTGTCATCAGTGGAAATCGAATGTTCTTCATTAATTTTGCAGCATAATCCATCCGAGGGTCTTCCAACCTTAGCCAGCGACAGGCAGCCTTGAAGAGTTCAAGTTCAGTACAGTGCTTAAGACTGTTACTGGAAAGCACAAAGGCAAGCCGTTCGAAAGGGAGTTTCAGGAACTCCCCAGTACTCAACAACGCAGGAAAATTCTTCAGGATGAAATTATTAACATACTTGTCCACTTCTATAAGATTGTAGGTGTTAGCAATCCGTCCCACCTCAACACAGTTATCTAAAGAGACCCCTGATATAAGAAACACTTTACAGAAGTCCAAAACAGGCAAAATCTGTAAAAAGCTGGCAGCTTCAAGTGTGTCTTGAAGATTGTCCATATTAAGAGAAAGTTTTGCAGTATAAATAAAATCAATGATTTTCTTCAGACCAACCTTGTTCACCCCATGAAGCTTAATGCACATTAAATCTTGTTCTTTCATTCCACCTGTGAACATGGCTTTGAAATAATCACTAGCAGACGCCATCATAGCTCTGTGAACAGGGAAGATTTCATCTCCATCACCTGGTACCAGGGTCACATCGCAAAGCAATCCTTCTACTCTAAGCTGATCAAAACCTTGCAACACCACCGAACTGTGAGTATTGCTGGTAAAAAAACGAGTGGTTCCTGCTTTGCAAGGCTGCAAATGGGCAGAGACGCCCATTTCGCCGTTACCAAGAGACACTTTCATGTGAAAATCTTCCTCTTGCACAGAAAAACGTATGCTGGAGAAAGACGTTAACAATGTTTTCAAGGAAACGAGGACGTGTAAAGAGCGGGAGAGCTCGCTTTCCTCAACAAGAGCGAGCAGTCACTGTGGCACCCCTCAGGGCACACCAGTCATCCACTGAAAACTGCTCTGCAGGACCACAAAAGGCTCTGGACCTCAAATCTGATTATTATGCAGATGAGTCATCACCTGAAGGCAGTTAAATGACCCGGTTCACCTCGTCCCGCCTGCGCGGCCGCACCTTCGGCAATTCCGCTACGGGCCAAAAGGGAGGCGCCGCCACGTACTGCAGCTCCGCGGCGAGGCCAGGCACCTCGGCGAGCAGCCCGCTGCGCCCTCCGCCGCCACCAGCGCGTCGCCGCGGTCACGGGCCTGTCTTCGAGCGGGGGCCGAGAACACGGGCCTGGGCCTGAGCCTGGGCCTGAGCCTGGGCCTGGAACACGGGCCGATCCCTGGACGCCGAGCCAGTCCTTCCGGAAAAGCCGAGTCCCAGGATCCCCTGGGCTAGGAGCGGCCACGGCAGCTACTGCGGCTGCGCGCTCGGCTGACTTCATCGGTGGGCAGGCGTGTAGTGAAGGGGAGAGGAAGTACGCGGGATGCGGGCGGGAGGGACGTGGAATGTGGAAATGAGGCTGCGGGGGTGGGAGCGAGCAGATCTTCTTCGGGTCACAGTGGATGTGGGATTGAATAGGCCAGAACGAGTGCACGTATATTATGCTGCATTTAGTATAAACATTTTTGCGGCGTCTGAGCTCGCCTCCGAAATGCATGCTTTTCCTTTAAGGTTTACACTTCCTGGCCTTTGTCTTTTGAATTACAGTGAAACAGTGCCAGTGTATAAATTGAAAGGTAACCTGGCAGAGGAGGGGACGGGAAGAAGAGACTTAACATTTTTTCTCTATAAAACACTTTAACTATAATTCGTTTCCCACACAATTTAACAAACACTTCAATTATAATTTTGGTTCATATTTTCAAGTTTTATATTATTTAAAACACACGTCTCTGAAATTGTGATCATACTATGTAAATAATATATCCTGAATTTTTCACTCACATTGCAATTCTATCATAATTTTTTCATGCTTTTTTTCCATTCACAGCTTATAAAAAGGCTACACAATTTTCTAACTGTATATGCTATAATTTCCTTTGCCCATTGTTTGATCTTGGATATATACATTCCTGTTGTCCCTTGTTTTATAGACTCTGTAACAAACGTATAGAATCTGGACACAGAACTTTCCCGTTTCTGGATAAGGGTACAGTAATTAAATTCTAGGATTACAGTCTACTGAAATAATATTAAATATGGAAAATTATGCAAAAACATGTCTAGCATATAACTTAATTTTTAATGCGGAGAAATTAAAAATAACTGAAATAATAGGGTAATGATTAAGTACGTTATTATACATTCATATGATGTGCTATTATATAGTCAATAAAAATACTGTTGGCAACTTCTTAATGTTGTGAGTAAATATATGATAAATATATATGTACAAAATTATGTATATGATCTCAATTATATGTAGGTGGTTTGCGAAATTAGCTCATGCTTCCACCCTGATATAAAAAGAAAAAAAGCCTTAATTTTGTAATTAAACTGGTCCTTTTTCAGAGTCCACACCCCTGGGTTGTTGGTAGTGGTATTAACAACTAAATGCCCAATTTTATTTTAAACTTAGTCTGATCTCATGCTTCAAATGATCTGCTTAAATAATTTTCAGCTTCTCTTGGAGAAAACTGATCAGGTCTCTCAGACAATCTTCTCCTGATTTTCTCCTTAAATGGTGTCTGAAAGTATGGGAATCGAGGCTAATGTTCTTCCGACCTTTGGGAACCCCAACTCCAGCCTGGTGTGGTCCTCGTTTGTGTGCTGGTGGCACCTGGTCTTCAGGGAGATCTCTCTTGTCCTTACTGAATATATATATGAATATATACTGAATATATATAGCAGTCTGCAACTAGTCAGTCTAGGTTCATTCTTTTAGTTTAGTCAGATCTTGTGAAAATCACTCATCTTTTCTATTTGTTGATTCAGTTTCCCTTCAGTTTTGGGTGTCCCAGCCTGCAGGCCACACCAGTCATGGTGATCCACACCAGTCACACACCAGTCATGGTGATCCACACCAGTCATGGCTACAAGTCACCTCATTCTGCCACTTCACAGGCTTATTGCCTCTCAATGCAATGTTCACCACAAAGGCAGAGAGGACAGGTCAGGAGAGTTGTAAGGTTCAGGGACTCTCTTTGGCTGATCATCCTGTGATGCCATGATTTTGTGATGATGCTCCAGATTGGTGTGGGGTAATAAGATGGCACCCAATGACCATTCTTAAAGTGAGTAGCAGGACAAGAAACCATTGTTTCTGGTGCTCTTCTAAATCTATCTGGTACACTTTTCTCTTTACAGAAGATAATACGAAACAGAGTCTGATCATTTTCCCTCCTTCCCTCTTTCTTTGTTCTTAAAATTCCCTGGCAAGTAAAAAAGAGAGAGCACCTTTCTGCTAATTACTCTACACCATACTCTTCTGGGTTGTATTGTGCTGGCTTGTGTGTTGTGATGCTGGAAGCTATGCCACCAGTATTTCAAATACCAGCAGGGTCAACCATGGTTGACAGCTTTCAGCAGAGCTTCCAGATGAAGACAGACAAGGAAGAAGGATCTGGCAGTCTACTTCTGAAAAATTCCGCCATTGAAAACCTTATGAATAGCAGTGGAACATTGATATAGTGCTGGAAGATGAGCCACAATGACATGGATGGAGTAAGCTTTTGGGACCTTCGTTTGTCATGTGGCATGACTCAAAAATGAGGGAAAAAAACAGCTGAAAACATCCATTAATAATCAGAACATGCAATTTATGAAGTATAAATCCAGGAAAATTGAAAGTCAGCAAAAATGAAATGGTACACATAAAGATCAATATGCTAGGCATTAGTGAGCTGAAATGGACTGGTATTGGCCATTTTGAATCAGACAATCATATGGTAATGACAAGTTGAAGAGGAATGGTGCTGCATTCATTGTCAAAAAGAACATTTCAAGATCTATCCTAAAGGACAATACTGTCAGTGATAGGAAAATATCCATACGCCTATGAGGAAGACCAGTTAATACAACTAGTACTCAAATCTACACACAACCACTAGTGCCAAAGATGAAAAAATTGAAGATTTTTACTGACTTCTGCAGCCTGAAATTCATCAAACATGCAATCAAGATGCATTGATAATTATTGGTGATTGGAATGCAAACGTTAGAAACAAAGAAGAAGGATCAGTAGTTGGAAAATATGGCCTTGGTCATAGAAGCAACACCAGAGAACACACAATAGAATTTTGCAAGAGCAGTGACTTCTTCATTGCAAACACCTTTTTTCAAACAACATAAAGAGCAATTATACACGTGGACCTCACCAGATGGAATATGCAGGAATCAAATAGACTACATCTATGGAAAGAGATGATGAAGAAGCTCAATATCATCAGTCAGAACAAGGCCAGGAGCCAACTTCGAAACAGAACATCAGTTGCTCATAGGTAAGTTCAGGTGGAAGTTGAAGAAAATTAGAGCAGGTCCATGAGAACCAAAATACAACCTTGAGTACATTCCACTTGAATTAGTGACCATCTCAAGAATAGAACTGATGCATTGAACACTAATGACTGAAAACCAGACGAGTTGTGGAATGACATCAAGGACATCATACATGAAGAAAGCAAAAGGTCATTAAAAAGAAGGGAAAAAAAGAAAGGCCAAATTGGATGTCAGAAGAGACTCTGAAACTTGCTCTTGAACGTAGAGTAGCTAAAACTAACGGAAGAAATGATAAAGTAAAAGAGGTAAACAGAATGTTTCAGAGGGTGACTGGAGAAGACAAAGTAATATAATGAAACGTGCAAAGACCTGGAGTTACAAAACTAAAAAGGGAAGGCATGCTTGGCAATTCTCAACCTGAAAGAACTGAAGAAAATATTCAAGCCTCAAGTTGCAATATTGAAGGATTCTATGGGCAATGATGGAACCTTGCTTGCTGAAAGTGAAGAGGACTTGAAGCACTTACTGATGGAGATCAAAGACTACACTTTCAGTATGGATTACACCTCAACATAAAGAAAACAAAAATCTTCACAACTGGACCAATAAGCAAAATCATGATAAATGGAGAAAATTTTAAAGTTGTCAAGGTTTTCATTTTACTTGGATCCACAATCAATGCCCATGGAAGCAGCAGTTGAGAAATAAACAACCGATTGCATTGGGCAAACCTGCTGTAAAAGATCTCTTTAAAGTGTTCAAAAGCAAAGATGTCACTTTGAGGACCAAGATGCACCTGATCAAAGCCATGGTATTTTCATTCACCTCATATGTATGTGAAAGTTGGACAAGGAATAAGGAAAACTGAAGAAGAACCGATGTCTTTGAATTATGGTGTTGGCGAAGAATATTGAATATACTGTGGCCTGCCAAAAGAACAAACACATCTGTCTTGGAAGAAGTACAGCCAGAATGCTCCTTAGAAGCAAGGATGGTGAGACTTTGTCTCATGTACTTTGGACATGTTATCAGTAGGGACCAGTTCCTGGAGAAAGACATCATACTTGGTGAAGTAGAGGAACAGTGAAAAAGAGGAAGACTCTCAACGAGAGGGACTGGCACAGTGGCTGCAACAATGGGCTCAAACATAACAACAATTGTGAAGATGGTGTAGGACCAGACACTGTTTTGTTTTGTTGTACACAGGGTTGCTATGAGTGGGAACCACCTCAATAGCACCTAACAACAACAATAACAAGGCTCCATATTTCATCCTCTGCACAAGCAGTCTTATCATTCCAAATAGCTCCAAGTGCCATCTCTACGCTCATGACTTTCGTATACATGTACCTTTAGCCAGAATCATATTTCCAAGCTTCAGACGTATTTCTATCTGCCACCCTAGAATATCTCCACAAGGTTGTGCCACTTTGAAACTCAACATATCCAGAATTGAACACATAATTTTCATCTGCCTTTGCCCATATGGCCTGCTCTTCCTACTGTGCTCCCTTTGTGCCTGTGTGAAGGGACCCTCATCATTTTGCTGTCCAAGATAGAGACGTGGATATCATCCTTGAGTCCTCAGTCTTCTCAAGGCATGCAGCCAATAAAACACTATTCTTTCAACATCTGTAGTGACATCTATCATATTTGTGACTACTCATCATCAGTGAAACAGCCTTTCTACATTAAGGGGTATACCATTTCTCCATTTCTGATTGTTTTAAAAGATGTTCACAAATTCTCCCGTACGCCTCCTTTCATGAGGTGGAGCTTAATTCCCCTCTCCTTGACTATGTGCCAGATTTAGTGGCTTCTCTCTAATGAATACACAACCTACGGATGAACTGATGGTGCTCGACTTCTAAGACTAGGTCATAAAAG